TTTATGAAGGAAAAAAGTATTCAATTCACCTGTTTTACAAAAAGCTAGGTTTGAGAGAGAAAGTATTAGAACTGACTGACATATTCAAACATTCACTTGATTCAAATTATCAATGAATGCTGCAACACAGAGTTCCATAAATTGCTTAGGTTTTATATCAGAGAAATACTGCCAAAATCACAGAAAATGTCACATTAAAAGTTGAGCACAGAGCCTAACACCATTCACTGGCAAACTACAATCAAGTAAGCATTGCTGCTCTCAACTTTTTAATGTGGCCATTCTTCCAAGTGAGGAAAACCTGCTTACACAACAACACTGTCATCTTCTATTTTATGTGGATTCTGCTGCATTATGAGATACACTTAGTGGGAACTGTATAGCTATCCAGAAATAGCTGACAGCTCTGACTGCTCCTAGATGTCACATTTTTGATTTTAGAAATATTCTTATGTTTAAACATGTAAAAATATTTCTGGAATGCAGGAATTAAAATATTTTTTCAGGTACAAACAAAGCTAAGAGAAAAAAAAAGATTAAAATACCATTTCTGAATTACACATACCAAAATGAAAAAATTAAACAAGCTACATAAGATTTGAATCTTATAGTCTATCTTCTGTGTCAAAGAATGTGGAAGAAGTTAGTAAGTTCCATTTGCTTTTGATAATGTGAACAGTATTTTATTATTATTTCCTAGTGATTACTTAATTCTAACAAATCAAAGAACATTGGATCCCACTGTTGTGTTAAGAATAAATGACAAGCAATTATGCAAATGGAATCCTGTAAACAAAAGTTCCTCACTATTTAAGAACTATGAAATCAAAAGAGCCAGCCCAAGCAAGATACATTTCTGTTGATTTTCTTAAGGCGTTTTTCTACATATATCTAGCCAACCAGCTTTTACTTCATAACCTGACTTAGCAATCTTAAGTACATTGGTACTTAAGAATCTTAAGGACAGTGGACTGTATTTCCAGAAGTGAAGCGCTCTGCTAGATTAAAGCCTTTCAGCTTAAAGTCTGGTCTATGTAAAAAATGAAATTTGGCCTAGAGGTTACTATGCCTCAGGTAATCCCTCAGTCAGATGTTTGTGCAAGTGTTCAAATTAAGCTAAGATTTCCAGTTACTCAGTTAAAGCTGACTAAGACTGTTTTGCCATGAAAGTTGAAATGTACTTTAGAACAATTTTCACCAAGAGTGACATAGGTATTTCACCAAAAGATATGGCTAAAGCAGTTAAGACATGCTTTTCGTTTTCCAGAAAAGCAGTCCCCAGCAGAGTATATCCCACCTTGGGAATAAACCTCAGCAGTTGTCCTGACAGTTCCTCTTGGTATAGTTATTGTAATGGTCTTTCTGCCAAACAGCTCTGCCCAGCTGTTTATCGACACCTTTTCAGTCATTACTGTTTCTTGCAGACAGTGACTTACCAAACAGAATCAAGCAGTGCCTCGGCTGCTTTAGCTTTCTGAACTGTTGAGGAACTTCCACTGGCAACTCCACAGCCTGCTTTCCAGTGGCTGCTCTGTAATTAAACTGCTGTAAGGAGGCACAACCAAAAGCAAGTTCGAACAGGCCCTGGTGAAACCCACATAGTTACTATGGAAAAAGTATTCTAGGGGGACAGCTTTCACCATTAGAGATGCATGCTGGTGCATGCCACCAGCAACATGTAGATATCATTTAAATATAATTTAAAACAAACAATACTTGCAATTACTATGAAAAATACAGGGTTGTCTTGCAAATAAAAAGAGATTCTTTTCCACAGACAATATTCTGGGAAGAGTATAACTATATACAAAACCACATACACCCTATCTATATAAAAGTGTTAATAACTCAGGGTCCAATGAAGAACTGACTTCATTCATCCTATGTAAGTTGTATTTTTTCCTTACAGAACACCTTCTACCACTGTAATAATTGAGCTGCTCTGAAGACTTGCCTCTAAAAAGCAGCCTATCACATCCTGAATTCTGTAGCCTTTACATCTTTCTGTTAAGGTAGAAAGACCACTACTAACAGCCTGGCTTAATAAAGATACTTGTTGTTTCTTCTTTTCCATTTGTATTTAAAACAAATCAACCATCTCTAAAACTGATCTATAATACATTAACTCACTATTCAGCATAAACAGCTACTGTAGCTGCCATAGACAGTCTGTAGTTATATGATTCACTAAGCAAATTATTTATGTCTCTGCTCAGGGAAAGAAAAGCTTCTTTAGGACAAAGGCTTGAGTCATGCTTTATGTGAAGAGATGAGGCTTGACTCACTAGAATCAACTGCACATCCTGACAGCAATCAGCAGAAAACTTACAAACTATACAAGCAAAAAGCACTTTTCATATCTTTCAGTGTTCTGGTGAGTTAACATTATGGCAAACTTGATATTTTCCTCACTCTGGCTACAAGAACTGCCCAAGTTATCATCAATATTGGTGAGTCCCCTATTTCTGTTGCTAAATTCAACAATACATTTCCACGCCTGCTTGGATTTCACCATGTCATTGTCCACCAGCTTCCTGGCTTCCTTACTGCACCTCATCTGTCACGCCTGCACCAGTCAGAGCTCAGAACCATGGCCAACACGGACCAACACTTAATAACTACACTTGGTGCCAAACATTTTAGGTCCCCCTCCAGTTCCTCTTCACCACATTAAAACAAATCAAGCTCTCACACTGGGCACAAAATGGTGAGGCTCAACTCACTTTCAGGAGAAATTCACCACTTCTGAAATCAAGCTCTACGAAGCTGACCCCACCAGGCAAACGGCCTCGAAACGCTTCCTAACGTGCTACGCCAGCACCTTCACCCAGCCCGAGGGCCTCACCCTCACAGGCCCCAGGCCCGCCCCAGGCCCACCCCAGGCCCACCCCAGGCCCACCG